CTCTAGGAGCATCCATGTTGCTGCAAATGGCGTTATGCTGTCGGTTTTTATGGCTGAGTAGTATTCCATTGTATAAATATACCGGCTTGCCTTTTAGTGTTTGTGGTTCCTGAAGTCCTGAAGTTTTAAATGTTCATGTAGCAAAATCTATGGACTTTTTTTTTCCGTTTGTAATTTCTTCACTTTCTTGTTTAACAGTTCAGTTTTTTTTCCTATCACAAGATCAGTTAGTTACGTGTTCTAGAGTTTTTCCATTTGTTTTCTTTTTTCTCTTCATATTTAATTTTTTAGCCTGGGGTTTAAAAAAATTGGTGAATTGTGTCAAAAATAATTTAATATAATTCTCCTAGAATGGGATAATCTATTGTTCATGTTCATTTTTCGAATAATCCTTTCTTTTTCATTCATTTGGATCCTGCCTTTATCCAGAATTACTTTAAAGAATTTATCTGGGCCTTTTGTTCTGCCCCATTGTCTGACAATTCTTGTGCCAGGAGCACATTAGATTCATTATCTGGGTTTATAATATTTAGGTCAAATTCTTTTCTTATTCTTTTTAAAAAATAATTTCCCCCAGCCTTGTTGAGATATAATTGACACATAATTTTGGGTTAAAGATGTCCAGTGTGTTGATTTGATGCATTTATATATCGCAAAGTGATTACCACCATGGTGTTAGCTAACATCTCTGTCATTCACATAATTTCCATTTCTTTTTTGTGGTGAGAACATTTGGGATGTTCTTTCTTGGCAACATACTCAAGTACGTATTATAGTATTATTAGCTATAATTACTATGCTGTACATGAGATCCCTGGAATTTATTCACCTTATAGCTGAATGATTGTATCCTTTGATCAATATCTCTCTATTTCTTCCACTCCCTGATCCTGGGTAACTACCACTCTCCTCTCTGTTTCTATGAGTTCCACTTCTTTTCTTTTTTTTTAGATTCTACATATAAATGAGAACATACAATATTTGTCTTTCTCTGTCTGACTCATTTCACTTAGCATAATGCCCTCAAGATCCATCCAAGTTGTCCCAAACATCAGGATTTCCTTCTTTCTCATGGCCAAATAATATTCCACTGTTTAAATGTGTATACATCTAAACATACTGCATCTTCTTTATCCATTCATCAGTTGACAGTTTAAAAATTGTAATAAACTTTCAACTTTCAAACACTTTTAAATTTACCGAATCATTGCCAAGGTAGTACAGCCATTCCCATATACCCAGCACTCAGCTTTCCCTGTTATTAACATTGTACATTACGATGGTACCTTTATTACAATTAACAAACCAGTATTGATATGTTATTATTAACTGAAGTCCATTCTTTGTTCAGATTGCCTCAATTTTTCCTTAACATCTGTTCCAGGATCCCAGCCAGGATCCCACATT